AGTTCATCTTCCTAAAGGAAGGCGTCTGGCAAGTGGCAGAGGCCAAGTGCTCTGGCACATGTGCTCTGGAGCCCAGGATTGCACCAGGGCAGCACGGGGAGTTTTCTTCAGTGGGAAAGACCCGCACTGTAGTGCAGAGAGAGGCGCCCAGCAGCCCCTGAGCAGGAAGCAGTGGATGCCTGAGGAGAGGCAGTTCTGCTTCAGTGGGGTGGGGCCAGGAAGGGTGGCATCACTGACGAACTGATGACCACCATTTCAGCAAAGGCAGCCAGGTGAACTGCTCCACAGACCGCCCCTGGAGTCGAGAATGGAGCCAGGGCTGCGTGGGGAGTCTTCTTAAAGCAGGAAGACCTCCAATGGAGCAGAAAGACAGGAACCCCAGCCCCCCTGAGCGGTAAGGAGTGAAACCCTAAGGAGAGGCAGCTCTGCCTCAGCATGGCGGGTTGTGGGGCAGGGGGCCGGAGGGACAGAGGCAGATCAAAACCCGATGGAACTACTGCTTCCTTAGGTCTCTGTCATAGTGGCTCCCAGAATACTGTTTTGTCCCTTTTTGTGATGGAGAGGAAGCAACAAGCACCCCCAGGTTTATCCCTGTGGGGACAGGCTTTCCATACCTCCACGTCAGCCCTGTCCAACTCCTCCTGCAAGCGCAGATTATCTTCCTCCAGGTGAGCCTCATGGCTTCCAGGAACCACAAGAGCAGTCCTAAAGCATCCAAAAGTTCATCGGAAACATGTCTCATCCTGCATCATTTTTCCCCTGCTTGCTCCCAAAAGACCTCTTCCCCCCTTTCCTACAAGCTCCGGGAAAGCAAAGCCAAGTCCATGCAAGCACTGGAGAATTTCTCTTAGAAGGGGCCTCCCTGAAGCAGCCTCAACTACCAGCTCAGGCCGTGCTCTTCAGGGCTCCTTGCACTGCTCTTCAAAGGCCCCACCGATGCAGCTGCACAAACTCCCGGGGCAAGCCCTTCGACCCCCTGACCATCTCCATGGCAGCAAGTTTTCTCCTTCGGTGTGCTCGGAGCCCCTCGTGTCCCCTGGGACCGTGTTGCTTCTCTTTCCCCCAACGCTTCCCTTCAGAGCACTTCACGCCCCAACTCTGCCGTGCCTTAAACCCCCCTGGCCTGCAGAGCAGCCACGCTGCTGAGCTACTGGCAAGTTTCCCCATGGCTCTGGCTCTGGGGGGGGGAAGGGCACCACAGACAAGGCTTTCTTGCAGACCTCAGGGGGCAAAGGGTGAGAGCCCCAAAGCTACGAGAGCAGCCAAGTGCAGACCTGCATTTACCAGTCACCCAGGGAACTGCTTTCACGGGGCTCCTCCTTCTTTTGCCCAGCTCATTGCCACGCCCCTCGTCTCACTCACACTTGCAGACCACCCAGAAGGCCCGGGTGCTCTTTTGACAAAGCCCTCACCTTTCCCACTGGCCTTGAGCGTGCCTGACAGCTGCTTTTTTCACAAGGCACTCCACAATCTCCTCATGCTGTTGCAAGGCTGCAAGTTTCAAGGGGGTAAATCCCCACTAAAAGGAGAAAGAATCCCCATTAGAAAGACACAGACAAGCTCTGCAGCTCTTGGAAAGAGCAGCTTTACCCACATGCCAAGGTTACCTGGTTCTGAGCATCACTCTTGGCATGATGCTCCAGTAACAGCCCTGCTACAGCTGTGTTTTTAGACAGGACAGCCAGGTGAAGGGCAGTGTTGCCGTCCGCGTCTGCCAGATTGGGGTCGGCACCGTGTTCCAGCAGAACAGCAACACATTCTTCCTGCTCCTGCTGGACTGCCTGGCAACAACACACCAAAAGGGAAAGACTTCCAACTTTTACATCCATCCCCCTCTCCCACAACTCCCTCAGCTCCTGAGTGCTGCCATAGAAGACCATCTGCAAAGATCAGCTAACAGAGGCTGTGCCGTGCCCATTGCAATAGGTGTGTTTCTATGGCCCTGCCCTGCAAGGAATCCTGCCAGACACCTCCCCTTTAACACCCCAGCACTAAGCCCCACCTCCAAGCTCAGAAGGCATTCCACACACCTTCATCAGGGCCGTTCTCTTGAAGCTGTCAGCGAGGTTGGGCTGGCTGTTCTTTCTTAGCAGATATCTCACGACATCTGCATGGCCATTGGCCGAAGCCAGATGCAGAGGTGTCCTAAAAATTAAACAGACGCTCTTAACCCAGACAGACAAAGGACGAGCCCAAGCTGTGTCTCTACCCAGCACCCTGGGGACCCTGCTCCGACTCTGCTCCTCCTGCTGCTGCTGCTGCTGCTGCTGCTGCAATGCTGCGCTGACCAGCCAGAGGGCAGAAGAGAACAGGTGACGGCTGAGCAGCTGCAGAACAGCCCTGCAGAGAGACCACGGCCAAGCGGCAGGTGGGCAACACGCCTTTCCAACAGCGCTGGAGCCCGGCCGGCAGCTCCGAGCAGTGAAAAGCTCAAGAGTTCCCTCTCCCAGCTGACAGGGCAAATCTCATTTTTCAAGCCTTATCCCTAAGAGAGGGCTGCCGAGGACTACTGCAGCTTGGCTCAGGAGCAGCCAAGGTGTGCCATCAGCGTGGCCCAGAACTCACCGCATCTCCTGGTCTGGCCTGTCGATGCCGACTACCTTCATGTACCAGCGCCAGCGCCTCAGCCAGCCCAGGTCCCCGCGGGCGGCCGCGCGGTGCAGCCTGCCCAGCCCCTGCTCCCGGAGCTGGGAGGCGCTGCTGGAGCTGGTGGCAGCCCAGGGCTGCCCACTGCTGCTGCTGGAGGGCGACTGCCGTCGCTTCTTGCTCAGAAGCCACGGCATGGCCCTGCTTGCAGCTCCCAGCAGCAGGAGTGCAAGAAGCCCCCGGCGGGCTGCCGGGAGCCAAGTGGGGATGAGGAATGGGACGAGGGCGAGGTTTAGGGGGAGGGTGACAAAGGGGACAAGGGTGAGAATAAGGACGGGCACGGGGTAGAAAGCACAAGGCAGACGAGGTCGCCCTGCGCAACGGTCGTGGCCTGCAGCTGCCAAGACGGCGATGCAGGCGCGCAATGCTCCCAGAGCGGGATGTGCTGCTGCTCCCCGAGAGGCTACAGCAGCTCTGGGCGCCGGCTGTGGGCACCAACAAAGCCGTGCCCGACTGGCGCCTGTGGCGTCACAATGGCTGGTGGAAGGCTCAGCACGTCAGCGTGGGGTGTGACAGAGGCCACGGGGCAGGGTGGGGCCGGGCGGGACAGGGCAGGGCGGGGCAGGTGTGAGGGGGCTCTGCTGGGCCTTGTGGGAAGGAGGCGGCCTGGGCCTTGTGAGGGCGGTCGGCGGGAGTGGGCACTGCCCCGCCTCAGGGCGCCCCGGGGCAGGGCCCGGGACGCTCCCACTGGGCCGCAGGCTGCGGTAGGCGCTGGAGCAGCTCCCGCATCACCCGCTCTGGCTTTTTGCTTCAGCCTGGAGCCGGGCTGCCTCTGGACACACCTCCATCAAATGAGGCTCAGCATGAAGTGACATCCCAGCCCAAGCAGGCGGGGGCCACCACAGCTCTCAAGAAATGCCCACCCAGTGCTCCAAGCCCACCAGACCAGACTTCCAGGACAATTCCCCAACTCCTTTCTCTTGTCCTGTTATTGTTGTGGCGGTCAATAAAAGAAAATATGCAGACAGTCTACTTCCAAGCAACAAGACAGGAGAGGAAAGAACCTTTATTGGAACAGAACACTGACTCTTATAGCCCTGGGCACAACATACATGTTAAACTACCATTGGTGTTTTTTCATAAACGTATATCACAATTGGCTGCCCTGCATCACACCATGATGATTCAGCATTTACAGACTTACAGTGACTTGTTTAACTCTGCCTGCCTTCCCACAGACTTGTTTTCAACCCTGACATTGTCCCTCTTGAAGAGCAGACACCTCGCCCCCCCTCCCCCTTGCAACTGCTCTCACCTGCTGCTTTGCCAGATGCCAACAGTCAGTTTCTGCTCTGATGCTCCACCAGCCAACAGGCAGCACACAGCAGGGCAGCAAGAAACTTTCAAACACATCTTGTCCCACTTGGTCCAATGACAACACCAAGTGAAGGCCCACAACTTCTGCACCAGCTTGCTCAGGGGAGGGACGTTACAATGGACCGCAAGCGGGCTGAAGAAATTTCCCTTTTTCTTTGCGGGTGTATCGGGGCTTAATTAGATGTCGATACTTTTGGTCTCTCTTTGGCCCAACCGCCTGGGAGGGTCTATCCTTTTCCTGCCAACTTAGGAGAAAACAAGCACTGAGAAACGGCAACTTCGTCCTTGAAGGAAGTGTTTTGGACAAACTACAATTAATTGGTGTCTTATTATTGCCTGATTGCCTTCCAAGGGCATTTGAAGAAAAAAGGGAACAGGAGGGTGATGGAGTACGCCCCCAGACTCATTTAGAAAAGACCCCCTGAAGTACAGCGCGCAAGCGCGGGGGGGATTCCAAAGGACACATGCGTGTGCAGAAGGGGCACCGCTTCCAGAACGTTGGGAGGGACCGAAGGCCTCTGGCTGGGCGGTGCTAACCACACCTGCCCAGGTGGACATCGCCAATCAATTGGATAAAAAGCGGATGGCTCGTGCTCGGCAGACGCAAGCTTCACATCAAAGGACAACGTTGCCTTTGGCGGGCACGCCCGCTATCTTGTGAGCCTGCCGACTCTCCCAGAATGCAGCTTCTGCTCTGGGCAATTCTAGGCCTTCTGGGTCGGGAAGATAACTTCAGAAGCAACACCTGGGCAACTGGGGGAGTCGTACTGAGGGCTTATTTTTCTCCTCCTTCCTCTCTCTTGGGGTTTTTTCCTTTTGTTGGCCACCTCTTGGGAATAGAGATTGTTTGGGTTGAGATTTCAACGGTGTATGGTTTCAGCTTCAGCATCCTTCCCAACTTTCCCTCTTACAGCGGGCTACAAACCCATCCGCTTCCCACAGGATCAGGGAGTTGCCTGTGTTTTATGGCTACCACAAGCTCACCCATTATCTTCTGCCCAGAACACAAAGAGGAGGGCTCAAAAGCACTGGAAGACTCTGGCAACCCAGTAGTAGCAATAGCTCACCTGTAGGCCAGGATCTTAACACGACTGTGCTTCAAGCCTTCACGGAGGAAGGGGACGCATTTGCCTGGCCTCTGGGATGGGCTGAAGATGCAGCTGTGAGCAGAGCTGAAGGGAGCAGAGGAGAGCTCTGGCTCGGCCTTCAGGTCTGGCTTCTCTTTCAGCCTTGAAGATTTCTGCCGCACTGATTTGCACTCAGACCAAGGGCAGAGAGAGAAGTCTAAACTCCCGGCCCAGGAAGAAAGCCTTAATAAACCTTCAAAAATAGGACTCTCCTCATCCCTCCCACCTAGGTCCAAAGAGCTCCAATTCTGTCACCAAACGCAGCAGTTCTCCTCAAATGTCGGGACAGTTCTGGCAGCCAGGCCCTTTCTGCCCAAGCTGGACAGGTCCCCACCTGTCCCAGAGGCAAGCAGAGGGAAGAAGAGGGGACAGCCTTGGGATCGGGGAATGGCAGAAGCAAAGCCGGCAGGGGCAACAGAAGAAAACAAGGACACCTACTAGACTCTTCAGTTTATTCAAGACCAAGTTGGCATAAGAACACCTAGCGGGAGCCAAGAGCCTCCTCACAGACTGAGATTGTTCAGACTCAAATTGTTGACAAGATGTTCCAGCCCAGTTGAGTAGAGAACCAGACTCGTAGTTTTGGTCTTATTTCCTGCTCGGCTCGTTCTTCCACATCCCTTTTCTATTGTTCTGTTTGGCTGTAAACTTCACTTCAACCTTAAGTTCAAACCTAAAAGGGCCGGTATTCCGAGCAGGAGATTCCAAGTTAAAGATCTTCAATCAGCTAAAGGGAGAGACAGCTTTCAGGCAAACCTTCAAACTAGGCTCCAGGATCATTCCATAGATCCCTCTCCTGAATCATTTGGGCAACCTATGGAAAATAGCATCCTGCAGTCCTCTGAAGGATCCTTAGGCTTCTCCTTCAAGAAGAACAAGGGCTGCTTGGATGAAAACAATCAAGAGATCCAGGATTTGTGGAGGAAAAAGAGAACTGCCCACCGAGCACACCTTGCTCAGCCATCTGCTCATGGAAGAAAAGCGGCCTTTCGTCTCGCAGGCAGCAACCTCCAACAGCAACTTCGTGACATCCAAAACAAGGGGTGGATCAATCTAGCAGGAAAAATTCAGTTATGCGCAGATACGGGTGATCACAGAGGATTCTAGGAGGCCTTGAAAACAGCATATGGACCGACAGACCAGGCCCAAAGCCCTCTACTCAGCGCAGATGGTCAAATGCTTCTCACAGGTGAAACCGCCGTTCTAAATCGATGCTCTGAACACTTTCAGACTCTTTTCAGGACCAACCGTGTAGGTCAAGACTCAGCAATTCAGTCCATTACACAACAACCCGTGAAGAATGAATTGGATGCTGCCCCTACTAGGGGAGAAAACAGGTTACCAAAGGCATCGAGAGCTTTCGGAAGACTCCATAAAAGAGTCTGGCGAAATAATCATCATCATCATCATGGCCAGGTTTCGCGAACGAAGATTTGGGAAGGGATCTACCCACGTCTGTTACAAGCGCGTTGGTGGCTAAAAAGGCCAACACGAGATAGACACGGCCGGTTGCAAAAGGCACAGCAGAAAGACTCCTTAGGAGATATATTCTGCAAGGCATGATTCTTTCTGCGTTGTCTTTTCTCCTCAAGAGTGATCCTGCGTGCTTTCTCAAAAGCATCAGCAGCGTTAAAGGTAGTGTGTCTCCAGACCTCCCGACTGGAGGCCAGAGTAGACCAGTTATGTTGATCAATATGGCCAAGGCTGAGAGGTTGTTTCGGGGAGTCCTTGTAAATAAACAACTGAAGAAAAGTACAAAGATCAGGGTTTACAGAGCCATAGTGCTGTCTACTCTCTCAGATGGGTCCGAATCATGGCTCATTTACCGCCACCACCTGCGACTCCTCGAACGCTTCCATCAACACTGTCTCCGTACAATCCTAAACATCCGCTACTCAGATTACGGAACTAATACGTCCGTTCTACAACAGGCAGCAATTACCAGCATTGAGGCCATGTTGCTGAGAACACAGCTGCGTTGGGCAGGGCACGTCTCCAGGATGGAGGACTACCGCCTCCCTAAGATCGTGATCTATGGCAAACTTGCCACTGGCTGCCGCAAGAGAGGAGCCCGCAAAAGGAGACACGAGGACTCCCTGAAGCAACATCTCAGCCTTGGCCACATTGGTCTCCAGCACTGGTCTACTCTGGCCTCCAATCGAGAGGTCTGCAGACACACTGTCTCTAACGCTGCTGCTTCCTTTGAGAACGCACGCAGGATCACCATCGAAGAGAGAAGACAACGCAGAAAGAATCGTGTCTTGCCGATCCCATCCAAGGAGTCTTTCTGCTGTGCCTTTTGCAACCCATCTTGTCTGTCTCGCATTGGCCTCTTTAGCCACCAGCACGCTTGTAGCAAATGTGGGGAGAGCCCTTCCAAATCTTCATTGGCCAAGCCTAGCCATGATCTGGCTGCCATCCACCACACTGGTCTCCAAATGAGGCTGGAGCTTTGCCAGCTCTTCTTGCAGCTGGCATTTGCTCTTCTCCAGGTTTTCCCACTTCCCACGCAGGCTAGACAGCTCGTCTTGCAAACCCTGACTTGTGGCTTCCAGCTGCGTGCGCTTTTGACATTCCCTCTCCAGCTGCTGGGAAAGTTCAGCAACCTGCAGACAGAAAGAACAAAAAAAGAACTCAGCGGGATGGAAAGGCAGTGAATTCCGGGAAAACCCCAAAAGGGGACCTTAAAGGGACCTTAAAGATCATCCGCTTCCAAGCCTCCTGCTTGCCCATGCCTCAATCCCATGCTACGCGCCTGTCCCGCTGATTACAACTCCTGGCGGGTGGTTTCCACGTCTCCTGCTATCATGCTCTGCATTCTGGCAGGGATGTGCTATCACACTGACTGCTGACTACAGGGCATACTCGGACCAGCGGTATTGCAGAGCTTGCAGCATTGCTGCAAAATTAGAAGGCCGTGAAGACTTCCCAAGGAGTAGGGAGCTCTGCTGTTTCATGGAGGAAGACGTAGCAGGAACTACACCAGCAAATGCCTCCTATCCAGAGTAACATATTAAAGCAAGGTCCAGGGAAGAAACTGCTAGAACGAAGATTACTGATGAAGAAAAAGGTGTCTCACAGATGTCTGGTGGCATTTGGCACTCACGGTGACATCAGCCATTTCAAATAGGTCACACACACCCTCCGTGTCAATTTAGTGGAGAACTTAGGGGGGAGGTTCCTGCGCCACAGTGCTCTTTCCCACGGTTTCTCTTGTCAAAGAATGGAGTTCCACAGCTCATTGCTTCCAGTTCCGTATTTTTGGGCCTTGGACCACTCTGGAAAATTTGGACAAACCTGATGACCAGAAGTCTTCCACTTTACCACAGATGCCTGAGACCCAGGCTTCTGCTCGGTCCCAAACTGATGCCATGACGTCCCAGGCCAGTTGAATCCAGAAGTGGACTTGCAGTCAGGTGTCCGATGACGGCACTGCTTGGGACTGCAGATCTGCTTCTGTGGCGCTCCCAAAGGAGCTTGGTGTTGGCCTCTGCAAGTCTCTCATTAGCTCTGAAACATTCACAAGCACACACAGAGTCATCTTTGGCAGGAAGGCTTTCGCAAAGTTACCCTCCACGGCCTTCACTATTACCCCGCTTCTAAAAGCCAAGGGCATGAAGAGCGTCCAAACCCAGCACATCCTTTGATCGGAGCTTGTTCCCAGGGCCTGTTTCTAAGAAATCAAGTGCAAGGAGCAGACAGTGTCACCTCCAGAAGAACTCTGGCCTACCCTGGTTTTCTCAAGGAAAGCTCAACCCTCAGACCCGCTACCAAAACAGAAGCCAAACAAGAGCCTTCTTAGTTTGGATTCACAGAATCCAACTCTCTTCTCCGAGAGGCCTCTCCTCGTTCAAACAGGAAAGGGCACAAGATTCGTCTTTTCTCTCCCCCACGGGATGAGGAGATTAGAGACTGGCAAAAAGACTGCCTGCTAAAACAGCAGCAACTTGAAAAAGACACCAGCAATGCCAGAGTGGCGCTACTGTGCTGTTACTGCTGGAACTCTAAAGAGAAAGGAAGACAGGTCTGATGAAGGCAAGGTCTTAAGGAACTTTCCCCACAAAGATGCCACGTTCTGCTTTCACACCTGACGCTGGCCAGATGTAGAAAAGGGATTTAAGAAGGAAAATGCACGAGGAAAAAGGAGTCTCTTAGTAGCAGTCCAAAAAAGCAGGGACTTACCTTTCCAGTCTCTTGGCTAGGCTTTTTCTGCTTTTTGCTTCCACCACATACAGCTCTTTATACTTTTCCACTTCTGCCTGGGTGGATTCTTTTTGAAAAGGTCTTTCTGCTTGGTTGCTTCTTATCCTTCCCAGTGCACGGTCAAGATCTCTAATTCTCTCTTCTAACTGGTTTTTCAGGGAGTCCAGATGACTGCTTCGGATTTTTTCTAATGTGTCCTGGTGGGCTGCCTGTGCCTGAAGGAGACAGTGCACCTTCAACCACCACAAGAAAAAGAGAGCTCTGCCCAGCACAAAATTGCACACACCCACTTTCAAGGGCCCAGCCCTACTCAGAGAGGCGGCTCTGCCTCCTCACTCCCAGCAGCAATCAAGGCAGAACCCAGCAGCTACCAAGGCAAACAATTCTTTGCAGTGGGAAAGAAGACCAAACTAGCACTCTTATTCAAAGCTACTAAGGAAGACACACTGTATCTGTAGGACAGAGCACAGCGAAAAGGATTCTTCAAAGACAAGAAGAGCATCCCCCACCCCTGTCATTTAAGTGACTCCTTTGCAGAGCACCTTTTCCCCCCTACAAGGACAAAGCAGCACCTCTAGGTCTGGCCATGACAGCTGCAAGTTGCCAAACCCATTCAAGGATGAGCAGCGAGAACCAGAGCAGCCCACAGAGATACCCCCCAAGCACTGCAAAGTGCCAGTCTGCCTCGGGCAGCCTTTGCATTCAGGGACCTGCCGGCACGTGACACACCCACGGCAGCACTCCTGCCCAACCAGATTGCCTTCTCCCACTGCCTTCAGCAAAGACAGAAGCTAACCCACAGAATACAGGAGCAAAAGAAAAACACCAAACCCCATGGCCACAACAGAAGTTTACGTAGCGCCTGTGGACGCTGGGGAGAAATTCACTTACTTGCAAAAACTCATTGACTTCCTGGAGTTTTTGTCTGAGTTCCCGGTCGGCTTGCTCTTCCACCTCTTTTTTCCACTGTTCCAGTTGGCTGCGATCCACCAAGTCAGTCTCCAAATGATGCCGGAGTTTTGCCAGCTCTTCTTGCAGCTGGCATTTGTCCATCTCCAGGTTCTCGCACTTCCCACGCAGGGTAGACAGCTCGTCTTGCAAATCTTGATTTTTGGCTTCCAGCTGCGTGCACTTTTGACATTCCCTGTCCAGCTGCTGGGAAAGTTCAGCAACCTGCAGGCAGAAAGAAAAAAACAGGAACTCGGCGGGATGGAAAGGCAGTGAATTCTGGGAAGACCTCAAAAGGGGGCGGCCAGGGAGTCTATATTCATCATCTGCTGCCTCAGGACTAGAAACAAAGTCCAACCAGCCTCTTCTTTTCCAGCAAGAACAGCTTTCCCATCATTTGTCATAGGATTCCTCAGCTTCCCATCCTTTCCGAGTTCCTCCTGCAAAACTGCTCCAAGCTTCTGCACTCCAAAGGAATCACTGCAAAGGCAGGAAGCCATTCTACAGCGATGCCTTCCAAACCCAAGCGTGGCTGACAGACGCCGCTTTAGCAACGGATCCGAGCGACCAGTGGAGAAGGAGATGAGAGGTTCCGTGTCACTACCGCAGAGGCAGAGCAGCCTCAAAAGCACTGCTGGGAACAGTCCTTCTGGCTCCCCGCCACAGGATGGGCTGAAACAGCTCCCTGTGAGCAATAAGTGACAGATTTTCCCCTGGGAGGCACCTGTCCTCATTGGGCCCTGGGCAGCAACAACACTGTTGAGAAAAGCAAAACCTCAAGTGCCTCCTGCTCAGCTCCTGCCTGAGACAGGGCTCAGGGGCTGATCGTGCCCTGCCACTGACAGCGCTGTTCCTCCCCTCTCTCCCAGAGCAGCAATTCATCTGTCACACCCAGAGGACGCTGTCACAGCCTCCCTCAAGCTGCAGCCAGGCCTCAGCTGGGCCCCACTGCTCTCAGCCCATGCACGTGATGTCCTGCAAGGACCTGCCCATCCCTCAGGCCCAGCCGGGGGATCTGCACTCTTGGCTGACCCCGCTCACTGTCAGCGGACCTGTTCTGCTCTTCCTGCTCAGGGCCTGTGGCACGGCTCCCTGGCCCCTCAGCTCACGCACCCTGCCAGGCTGGTTGCCACTCTCGCCTCGCCCTTCCTCTGCAGGACAGCCTGGCCTCCATCAGCCCTTACACCTACTGCTTTGTCCTTAACATTTCCATCTTTCCCCAGAAGGAGAACTACCTCCGGATTACTTAGAGTCATCTCCCACTGCAACAGCAGAAGGAGCATTAAGAAAAGCCCATCACACCCAAAATGCAGACAAGGGAAAAAAATCATCACCATGACAAGAAATAGAGGGAAAGCATCTCCCAGCTTTCAAAAGAAGGAACAACCAAAAAGCCCCACCCAGAGCCAGGCTCACCTCTCTTCGTAATCTGTCAACTTCCTTGACCTTTTCAGAATAACTCTTCTTCATTTCCTCCAACTGGGACTGGCTTTCTTTCTCTTCATTAAGCCTGACTTTCCTCCTCTCTAGCCTCAGAAGCTTTTCCAACCTGCACAGCAAATTAGTTAAGAAAACCATGAAACACAGGAACAACCAGCCTTTCCCCCACAGTCTCACAGAAACGCCACAGACAGCATCCAAGCCTAGAAGGGCTTGGCTTGGCAGGGACCTTAAAGATCATCTCGTTCCAAGCCTCCTGCTGTGGCCAGGGACACCTTCCACGAGACCAGGTTGTTCACAACCCCATCCAACCTGGCCTTGAACACTTCCGGCCATGGGACATCCACAGCTTCTCTGGGCAACCTGTTGCAGGTCCTCACCACCCTCACAGGAACCAATCTCTTCCTAGGATCAAATCTAAACCTACTCTCTTTCCGTTTGAAGCCATTCCCCCTTGTCCTCTCCCCACATGCTCTTTGAAATGCACTCTCTTCATCCTTCTTGTAGGCTCCCTTCACACACCGAAAGGCCACCAGTAGGTCACCCCAAAGCCTCCTCTTTTCCAGGCTGAAGTATTGCAATTGACCCAGCCTTTCCTCAGAGGAGAGCTGCTCCATCTTTCTAACCACCTTGCTGGCCTCCTCTGGACTCAGCTTGGCAGCTCCCAGGGCCCTCCTTTCTACCCCTTTCAAAGATGGGCACAGTGAGTTTCCCTTTTTCCCATCACCTGGGACTTCGCCTGACTGCCACGACTTTTCAAATATCAAGGAGAATGTCTTGGCAACTCCATCAGACCCTGCTGGCCAATGGAGGGCAATAATGCTGGCCAGATGGAGAAGATGGATTTCCAAGGAAAATGCAGGAAGAAAAAGGAGTCTCTTATTACCACTCCAAAAAAAGCAGGGACTTACCTTTCCACTTTCTTGGCTAGGCATCTTCTGGTTTTCACTTCCTCCAGATACAGGTCTTTGTACATCGTCATTTCTGCCTGCGTTGCTTCTTTACGAGAAGCACTCTCTTGTTGGGTTCTTTTTACCCTGTCCAATTCACTTTCGAGGCCTCTAATTCTGTCTTCCAACTGGATTCTCACGGAATCACAATGACTCTCTCTGATTTGTCCTAATCGGGCCTGTGCCTGAAGGAGACAGTGCACCTTCAACCACCACAAGAAAAAGAGAGCTCTGCCCAGCACAAAACTGCACGCACCCAGTTTCAAGGGCCCAGCCCTACTCAGAGAGGCGGCTCTGCCTCCTCACTCCCAGCAGCACGTCCACCCCCTCACCCCCACCCCTGTCATTTAAGTGACTCCTTTGCGGAGCACCTTCCCCCCCTACAAGGACAAAGCAGCACCTCTAGGTCTGGCCATCACAGCTGCAAGTTGCCAAACCCATTCAAGGATGAGCAGCGAGAACCAGAGCAGCCCACAGAGATCCCCCCCAAGCACTGCAAAGTGCCAGTCTGCCTCGGGCAGCCTTTGCATTCAGGGACCTGCCGGCACGTGACACACCCACGGCAGCACTCCTGCCCAACCAGATTGCCTTCTGCCACTGCCTTCAGCAAAGACAGAAGCTAACCCACAGAATACAGGAGCAAAAGAAAAACACCAAAACCCATGGCCACAACAGAAGTTTACGTAGCGCCTGTGGACGCTGGGGAGAAATTCACTTACTTGCAAAACGAGGCTGACGTCTTGTAGCTTTTGACTTCTTTCCTGGTCAGCTCGTTCCTCCACCTCTTTTCTACATTCTTCTCTTTGGCTGCCATCCAGCACCAAAGTCTCCAAATGATGAGTGAGTTCTGCCACCTCTTCTTGCAGCTGCCATTTGCTCTTCTCCAGGTTTTCACACTTCCCACGCAGACTGGACAGCTCTCCTTGCAAAGCCTGCTTTTGAGCCTCGAGCGGCATGCCTCTTCTAGGCTCCATGTCCAGCTGCTGGGAAAGTTCACCACCCTGGATACAGGACAAAAAAAACAGAAAAGGAAACTCAGCGGCATCTAAAGGCAGTGAATTCTGGGAAAACTTCTCAAGGGGGTGGCCATCGCAACTGTATCTCTCCTCTACTGGAAACCAGCCTAGAAAACACTTGAAAGATTCCCCGACAGAAAGAAGAAACTTTAGACCTACTTAAGAATTTGGGAGACACTCCTGGCAGCAATACTTCCGGCTCCCTTGGAGCTCAGGATGAAACTCCTCATTTAGAATCTAAGAATTCCTCCAGTGTCCAGCACAGCAAATACCCTCGGGGTAGCAGCTGGCAAAAGGACCAGGCTGCTTTCTGAGCAGCCTCTACTGGGGAGAAGGCAGAAACTGAGCTCCCCTAGGCTCTCCAGGAAAACTTCATCTGACACTTTCCCCACACAAATAGGCAACTAGACTCAAGAGTCACAAAAAGGCAAATTTAGCACCAGCTTACTGAGGCAGAGGCTTGCAGGGCTCTCGGAAGGGCTTCAACACCATCGCTTGGCTGCTGGACAGTGCCTTCCAATCTGCTCTTTTCACTTGCAAAGCTTAAGAAGAAATACAGCTCTTATTACCAGAAAATCCAATGCCAGACAAACTGTGCTAAGGAACAGAAGCCACAGCAGAAGTGTCCTTCAAAATCCCACTGACTCTCCCCTTGTTTCCACCCAATCCCCCAAAGCCACAGACCCCTCGCTTCACTGGGTTACTCTCTTACTCTTGCGCCTCTTCTTCCAGTTGTTTTACAGTCATGTTAGTCTCGCAAGATGCCAACGGGAGGTCCTGCAGTTTCTGGGAAGATGTTATTACTTCTCTTCCCTTGTCATCCAAGGCAGTCTTCAAGTCACAAACACGATGCTCAGACTGAAGATGCTTTTCTTCCTCCTCCCGCAGCTGTAAAATCACGGGAAGAATCCACAGTTGTCAGGTGAGCTTTTCCAGAGAGGAGCCAGTTGTTGCTGAAGAACTCAGGTGCTGCATGTCTGTGTGCATCCCCTCTGCCCAAAGAACTGCAATCCACTCAAGTCCCTTCAAAGCTTCACTTCTACTACCCCATGAACACAAACTGTAGGCCTTTGTCCTCTTTTACAGCAGCCTCTCCTATCCCTCCACTGCTTTCCTACAGCACGCTTCTAAGCACCGACACTGCCCCTCCGTCCTTTTTGGTCACCTGGGACACTTCCTGTATTCCCTTGCTTGCTACTCCAGGAAAAGACCAGTGAAATAGTTCATCTTCCTAAAGGAAGGCGTCTGGCAAGTGGCAGAGGCCAAGTGCTCTGGCACATGTGCTCTGGAGCCCAGGATTGCACCAGGGCAGCACGGGGAGTTTTCTTCAGTGGGAAAGACCCGCACTGTAGTGCAGAGAGAGGCGCCCAGCTGTGGAAGATATTACAGAAACCTGGTTGGTAGAGAGAGGACACATTAAAGATTCTATACCGCTGGTCTCACGCTAAAGCAAGAAAACTATTAGAAGGTCACTGATCAGTGTGTTTGTGAAACTGCTTTGTTTAAGAAACTGCAAGGCTGCATTGTCTGCTGTGAAGCTGTATTGTTTAAGAAACTGCATACGTGATAGAAAAATTAGAGCAACAGGATGGGAAAGGTAGAGAAAGTAGCAAATAGTAAATAAAGTAACTATAGCCATGAGAAAGAGGCAGCATTTGCGCAAATATAACTTAGGTAATTAGGAGCCAATGATGAGCTTGTATTTGGAATATTAATGAGCCTAATTATTAGCCTTTATAAGCATGGAGCTTACAGCAATAAAGTTGGATTAGTCATGATCAATACTGTGATCGTGTGATACTTTCCCGTCGTCCACAACAAATGGTGACCTCTGACGTGATAATTTAAAGAAACGGGGGAATCCACGGTTGGGATGGCATAGTGTCGGAGCCTTAGCAGCGAGGCTGGTCAAAAAGTCAAATTGAGGAGTGACTTGGACCTGGAACTGGTCAAAAAGTCGGCAGAATTTGCGACTTCGGACCCGGATCAAAAAGTGGGCAACTGCAACTTCGGATCCTTAAAGCGTCACTTGGGACGAGTTCCACCGTACGTGCTGCCGGACCCTGGAGGCTGCAAGAGCGCGCTAAAAATAGGTAAAAAATGGAAAGGGAAGCAGCATATAGTTTATTTTCTGAATTTTTGCAGAAAAAAGGTATTAAAGATATAGATTTAAAAAAGGAATTACCAGGATTGCTTGCTTTTGGGTATGCAAAAGGGTGTTTTATCAACCCGCATACCGTGCATTCTTTAGAAGAGTGGCGAAAGTTTGGAGATAAAATATGTGAGGCCATTCTAGAAGAGGATAAAGTTGCAAAAAAGCTGGGAAAGTTTTGGAAAGTTGTGAATGATACATTGTTACAACATGAGGCAGAAAAACGAGCTGCTGAGCAAGCTCGAGGTATGCAGCAACACAACAGAGACTGGTTCTCTATTTCCCCGACTCCCCCTGCATTTCAATCAGTTATGCTCCCAGCACAGCCGTCTGCCCCCCCTCCTAATGAAAATACGGCTCCCCCTCCTGCAACCCCTCCCGACCCTCCTGCCCCTGCAGAACCTTTAAGCAATAACGCTGATCCATTGCTGGAGCCACCAGCACCCCCTCCTCCTGCTTTAGATGCTGTGATGCCTGTCCCTGGGGCAAGCACTGACCCGGCGGGGGCCATAGCCAAAGAGAGGAGAGATACATGGGCAGCGATTGCTAAACATTGCCTGTCAGAAGAATTGCAGGGGGCAGAGGGCATGGCATTTCCAGTTATTTATAATCAAATGCCAGGGGGAGGGCTAAATGCCACTATAACTCCATTAGATTGGAAACTTTTGGCACAACTGCGGAGCACTGTAAGTGAATTTGGTTTGCATGGAGAACCTGTTAAACAAATGTTAGATTATTTCTGGGCCACTCAACTTTTACTACCCTCAGATCTCCGTTCCATTTCGAGAATGATACTTACAGAACATCAGCAACTTTTGTTTAATGCTTATTGGCAAGCATATGTTAATGAAAGTGTTGCTGTGATCAGGCAACCGGGGGATCCTTTACACGGCGTTACAGCAGACGAACTAAT